TAAACAAACCACCAGCAATGAATTTTTAATGTTTATTTATGGACAATATTAGTTTTTTGAGAAATGGGTAAAAAATGCTGTAGTATTGAAAAGTTTTGTTGCTTTATGAACATGTTTGATCCCATAAGGAAATTTTTCAACTAGTTAAACAAAGAAATTATAACAGTTATATAGCTGAAGCTAGCATAAATGCCGCACTGAAGAAGCTCTGAAAATAAGTTTATATTCTAAAAATAAAACTATAATAAGAACACAGTAGTTAATGAGGATATTTCTTATGGTGCATAATAGTTTTAGTTTATATTTATATATTTTTATTTTTTTTTTATATATATTTAGTTTATATATATACTTGATATTTATTTACTAGTGATAACTATTGGCATAAAACTGATAGGAGTTTTTATTTAAAACTAAATTACAAATCAAAAGTGAGACTTTTTTTTAATAAAATCTAACTTTGAAAATATTAATGCCTGTTAATATAACCTGTCTTTTAAAACAATTTTTTTATAATTTTCTCTACTTTTACTCCACAACACTTTTAATATAAGTTGATATTTGTCAATAGGCTTTTTACGTGGGTTTTTAATATTTGTTTGAAAAGTTTTATGCTTTTTTTGTTTAAATGTGTTTTTCTCAAATCTCACAACTTTGCGGTGAATATCTCAAGATTTTCTTAATCAATTTCCATAAAATTTTCAGCAGTTGTTCTTTTTGTTGTTATAGATGTCCCCTACCACATTTATGACAATACGATAATCCAATTCAAAGATATTAAAGCTCAAATAAGGTCAAAAATGCCTTATTTTTTGATTGTCAAGTGTTTCTCTTATAAAAAAAAATCTGTTCAGTAAATTTTTTTGATTTTGGTACAGGATCTTCTTTATTGTTAAAAGTAAATATAGAAAATTTCAAGTTAATAGCTTCAATAGTTTTTGAGATAATCACCGCACTAAAATGATGATATTTTTGGGTTTCTAGGACAAATTTCTGAAATTAAAGAAAATTTTGACTTCTTTTTTTAATTTTGTCATTCAAGAGTAAATTTTAGTCAATTTAGATGTAAATAATATTTAAAGTGTAATTTTTGAAGGATTTGATTTAACTACCACCTTAAAGCCTAAAATAAATATATTTCTATAATTACTATCATTACTATTGCTATTATTATTACTATTATTACTGTTATTAGTATTATCTTTTTCTTTTTTTTTTCTTCTACTTTTTTACGGCGATTTGTTTTCATTGATTTTATTCCCACTTGGTATGATTACGAAATTTTTGGATACGGATGTAAAGAAAAAAAGTTTATTTTATTTTTACGCGCCAATTTTCTCCGAATAACCTGTTAAAAAATTCATAATGGTTTCTGAACTATCTTTTTACCGATAAAGTAACTAACAAACTCGTGGATAGACTCCATCCATGATGCATCTTATGATGTAAAAATTCACACATGGCTTCATAATGTGTATATCTAAATTTCCAGTTTATAACATATACTTTCTAATGACTGATGTCGTAAATATATACGTATTTCGTTAAAAAACAGTGATTTTTATGTCTATTTTGCTTAAAACTACTATTTAACTGTAATTTAGACATATAGTTGAAAACTGGAATTTAAGATCCAATTAAATGTTAACTTTATAAGTAATAATATTGATAGTTAGGGAAACCGTCATTTAGTCTATCCAGCTGATTATTTCTAGTTTTAGTACTAGTTTTTTGAATAAATTGAATTTCAATATCTATATAGCTTTTAAAGAGCAGATTTTAATAAAAACCACACGATATATATTTACACTTAAAAATACCATAAATAAAATATCTATAGCCCTAATTCCATGATGAAGATGGTAATTTTTTGCAACTTTTCGCAAAAATGAAAAAATTGCGGACGTTTTGGACCAAATTTCGTGTTTCTCAAAATAAAGCTATAGGAATTTTTAAAGCAAAAAAAATCGCCGCGTTTAATATTATTACTAATAATAATATTAACCCTTTCTGGCCGGTTGTGTAGAATTTTACACATACCGAGATCCACGCGCTGCTTTAATAGCAGTGGCGTTTAGAACGTTATGACCGGTTGTCGCGTATTGTACACATACCTAGGATGACGATAAAATCGTTGAACCAATGACGTTCTTACTTTGGATTCTTGGCTCGAGCTTTGTTTACAGGGATTTTGTGAGAAGGTCTACGGTGTTACTACGAGACGGAAGACCTGACTATTCCGAGTTATACAGGTTAGTTATAACCATGAAATGTTATGGATTTTATGTAGTAGTGGTGTCTTTGTATAGTAGTACCTTGAATTTGTAGCTGGATTGCAGGAATAAATTTTTATGTGGTGTTTTTTGTATGTGTGGAATTATACACAATCGGGCATAGCATTGAATATAACAGATACAAAATTGACACTCTTCAGCTTAGTATTGTGTGATATAACATGCTGGAATGACAGATTATTTGTTTATGATTTGTTATGGTGAAATATATTTATATTTTACCATGTTCATAATAGTGTTCAATTTTATTACTACTAGGAATAATAATTATAATACTAATAGTAGTAATAATAATAATAATTTATTACTAATATTATTATTATTATTGCTGGTAATACAAGCAGCTACAATAGTATCATAGCCATGTTTTAGTATAGTTATTATATATTTGTTTAGTGTTCTTATAGATACCAATTATATCTGCTATACTTTTATAGAGTGTCTGAGGTGCGACTTAGGGTTAGGCTAGAGTTAGTAATTAGGGCAAGTTTGGGCTATATTATGATTTGTAATATTATTACTATTATTATTTGTGATATAGTATTTGCTATAATGATTGTTCTGTTAGTAGTGATATTGATATTATTTTTGTATCTGTGCATATTTTATATTTTTTTTGTATTTTTTATTGCAAACATAGTGATATATAATACTAGATACCAATACTAATCATAGCATAAATTGTATTCTGATTTTAGATGAAGCCTGTTCAGTTCTACAAGAAGACTGCTACAACAGCTCGTTTTGTTCGTAACATTCCTGCAGAAAGTGATGATGATGAGCTCTCGTCGAGTGACAATGAAGTTGCTGAAGTATCATCTGGTGACGATACAGAAGAATACGAAGTATCTGACCAGCAAGACAGCAGCGATGATGAGCAGCCTTCCACTTCTGCTGCTGTTGGAAGATCTACTGTTTGGAAATGTGTTACTGGCCAATCATCTGCAAAGTCAATGCCAGAGTCTGCTGATCAACGTGCTTCTGCTGATACCATAAAGTCGCCAGTGGAGTACTTTCGTTACTTCTTTGACAGTGGGTTGGTGGAACACATTACTGATCACACCAATCTGTATGCAACACAAAAAGATGTAAATAAGCCTATTGGTTGTTCCAAGGATGAAATTGAACAGTTTCTTGGTATGACTATGTACATGTCTATTTTTAATCTGCCAAGAAGTAAGATGTACTGGGGCAAAGCATCGCGTTTGTCACAGGTTGCAGATGTGATGTCACGTGACAGGTGGGTTGAACTGAAAAGTAATCTTCACTTCAACGACAATGGAAATATGCTTGCTCCAGATGACGTTCAGAGAGATAAATTGTTCAAAATACGTCCGTTGATTGACTCTCTCTTGCCAAAGTTCCATTCACTGGAAGTTGACCATAAGTTGTCAGTGGATGAACAAATTATCCCATTCAAGGGACAGTCGGGAATGAAACAGTACATTCCGAGCAAGCCCTACAAATGGGGCTATAAAGTGTTTATGCTGTGTGATGTGACTGGAATTGTGCATAATTTCATAATATACACTGGAAAGATTCAGGCAGCATCCAATCAAGCAAACATTGGTGCCAGTGGCAACATTGTGCTTCAGCTGGTCGAGGTCTTGCCGCAAGAGAAGCAGTACCTGTTGTTTTTTGACAATTGGTTTACGTCACTGAAGTTGCTGTCAGCCCTAGCTAATAGGAACATATTAGCAGTTGGGACAGTTCGTGCGAATCGTCTTCAGAATTGCAAGATGATTGCTGATGCAACTCTGAAGAAGAAAGGGCGTGGCTCATTTGAAGAAAGAGAGGGTGTGGTCAATGGTGTCGAAGTTCGAGTTGTCAAGTGGTTTGACAACAAGTCTGTAACACTAGCCAGTACATTTGCTAGTGCAGAACCAGTGTCAACTGCGAGGCGGTGGGATCGTACTACAAAGCAGCATATTGACGTGCCACGCCCAGAAATCATACAGATCTACAACAAGTTCATGGGAGGAGTTGATACCCTGGATGCCATCATGGCGAGGTATCGGATCCACTTGAAATCAAAGAAATATTACCACCGCTTTTTTTTCCATTTTGTGGACTTGGCAGTGGCAACTGGCTGGTTACTGTATCGCCGGGATTGTCGTGATATGGGAGTTGATAAGCGTCAGCAGAAGGATCTTATGGCCTTCAAGCTTGAAATAGCTGATGCTCTTTGTCGTGAAGGCAAAGACATGACAGCAAAGAAGCGTGGCAGACCATCAACCAGTATGGAGGCAGAGCTGCAGCGCAAGAAGAAGAGGGGACCTGCTAAGCCTGTGCCAACTCAGGATGTTCGCACAGACTCTGTTGGTCACTGGCCGGCACATGGTGTGAGGCAGAGGTGCAAGCGTCCAGGGTGCAAAGGACAAACTGTTTTTGTATGCACTAAGTGCAATGCAAATCTTTGCCTTTCAAAGAAGAGTAACTGTTTTCGCCAGTTTCACGAATAACTGTTGATAACTGTGTTATTGTACCTTGTCTTATACGGCCGTTGTGGCCTGTTGTGTACAATACGCGACATAGCTATCTTTTGCTGTATGAAATGTTTTATATAATTTTTTCTGTCTGGGTTTGATTTTTGACTTATAATAGGTGTGTTTTCAAGAAAAAATTTTTTTTAAAATTACATTTGCATAATTCAGGCCAGAAAGGGTTAATATTATTTATTAATAATTTAAAAAAAAAAATGCTTTATATATAATATATTTAATAATTATTTCAACAAAATACTTTTTTTATTTGTACAAAGCAGCAACTTGCTCTCAATCTTGAGGTATCCAAACATCAGAGCTTTTTTTTAAACAGCTGGTGTAACTGTTGGGTTATTGAAGAGTTTCCCAAATTTACTTTGTAATGTTTGGCGAAATTTTTTATACATGAGACAATAAATGATAGGGTTCAGAATTGTTGATGATTTAGCAAACAAAGCACAATAAGTTAAAAAACTAGGAGGTAGTTTTTTTCCAATTGTCAAATAAAAAACACATACGGCATATGGAGTCCAAACAGTAAAAAATGAAGCTATTATAAAACTTACAGATATAAAATCTTGTTTTTCTATTCGATATGTAACTTTTGTAATATTTGCTTCAACACCAGAAATTTGTTTGCACATTTTTAACATGTTGCGAAGTTCTGAGTGGACTTTTAAACTACAGTAAATAATAATTATTAGAGGAATAAGGTAACAAAATATTGCCAGAGCGTATAAATAACTACTTTTTATCTCATTATCCGGATATAAATTAATTGAGCATCTGTAGGTATCCTGTTTTTCTCGCACTATCTCATTCCAACCGAGTAGAGGACTTAATGACCAAAACAAACCATAGATCCAGCAAAAGGCAATACAACCACATGCACTCCAATTCGATTTTGTGAGAAATATCTGTAGTTTTAGTGGATATACAATAGTTAAATAGCGATATATACATAAACAAACCAAATGTGCAATAGCAGTTAAGGCAAGGTACATAACAATGAAACCACTCGGTTTGCAAAACTTTTCGGATAGTGATGGATTTTTGTAATTAGCATAACCAAACAGTTCGACCGGATATCCTATAGTGCACTGTACGCCATCACATATTGCAAGACTCATCAAAATTACATCTCGAGTGTTTTTAGTGTTTCCCTTTGCTAGTATGGTTAAGACTACAGTGACGTTTAATATCACAGAAAATCCACATAAGAACGATAAAAATACGATAATAAAAACAAATGCCATTGATCACACAAATGTCTGTCCAGAACTACAGGAAAATTAATACTATTTAAATATAAAAGATTTGAAAATAAAATAAATTTTACAAAAAAAAAAAAAAAAAAAAAAAAATTTTTCAAAGAAAAAGCAATGGTTTGAACTCTACTAACAAAAGCAATAGTTTGAATTTCTAAAAAGAAATCAATAGTTTTATCTCAACTAACGAAATCAATAGTTTGAATTCATCTAACAAAAGCAATAACTTGAACTCATCTAAATAAAACAAATAGTTTGAACTCAAAAAATCTCATGCTAGAAACAAATTCAATAGCTAACTACAACAAAAAAAATCAATGGTCTTAACTCAAAAAATTCCTGCCATAACAAAAATCAATAGCTCAAACACAACAAACGAAAGAAATAAGTCAAACAATTAAAACATAATTTCTTTTTACTTTTTGGTTGATCGATTTTGGCTACTAAACCCAAACATACCTATAACTATCTTACACCAAAGTCATTTTTTTATTAATTTTTAAAACTAGGGGTTGTACTTTACCGAGTTTTTGAATTTACTATGTTTTCAATCTACAATCACATTTGACACATTTTCCACTAACTATAGACTTGAGTCTTTTTTTAGTTATTTAAACTTATGTAAATTTTATAATTAAAAAACTAATCAATATTATTGAAATGCATCTTTTAAATAAACTACGGAGTTAAAAAAATAAACAGTTGGTTAAATATAAGTAGTAGAAGGTAAAATATTAAATATTAAATATTTTTCTATCAAAAATAGAAATAATAAAAATAAAATGTTAAGAAAACCTTTGGAAAGGTTTTTATGTCAAATAAAGTTGTTATATGATAAAGGGTGGTAAAAATTAACTCATTTGTTATATGATAAAAGGGGGTAAAACTCTTATGGAACCTTTTTTGGATCGAGATTTAATCTCAAAAATTTTATCCAACTAATAAAAACGCACGATCGTTTACCCCAAAAGGAAACAACCATATGTTCAAATATGAATAAAAACGATAACTTTTTTATTTTTTTTTTACTTTTTAGCTCTATTTTTTAAGAAGCTTAAAAACACATTTTAGTTCTTAATTCAAAAAAAAAAAACTTTCTTGCCCGAAATTCATTAGTTCTACTTTTTAATAAAGTTTTTAAAGGAAAATATAAATATTTAAAAAATTTATCTATTAAATTTTACATTAACAGAGCTATTTACTTAGTTATTAGTTGCTTAGTTACTAGTTATTTAGTTACTAGTTAAGGATATTTTTAGATGATAAGAACGATGTGATATCTTCTAGAAGATCTATTGAATGAGTTTCTTGCTTTAAAGTACTCGATTTAGTTGAAAGGCAGCTGTCAAACTTTTAATAATAAATGAATTAATATTTTGAAAAATATATTCAAATCATCTGAAATACTTTATTAATGATAAAATAAGTTATATAATAAAAGTGTAGTTTTTTTGTTATAAATGGTTCATATATAAGACTGCGATGGTATTTAAGATTTTTTTTTCTTTTTAACTTGTTGCAGTCGTCGTTTTTGTATATTTCTTATATAATACTTTTGTGTAGTTACTGATTAGCAAACTATAATATAAATGGGGCTCGATGATAAGATTGTTGTCTTCTGGCACTATCTGCAACAAATGAATTACTCTCTTGAATACTTTGTTAAATTTGCAAAGATGATGTATAGATAAGACACATGATTTTATTTTGAAATTGAAAATAAAACATTTTAATATAGCTACAAATAGGTATAAAAGCATTTTATAAATAAATAGTTATGGTTTTTATATTTATCATGCTTTTTTTTCTTACTCTTTCTATGAAGAAATATTATATATCAGAGCACTGTCAAGAGGATTTAAAAAGGCTGTTATTCTGTATTTATCTTCAACATTCCGTGTTCATTTTCAACATTTTATATTCATCTTCAACAATCAATCCGTAATCGTCTTCAAAAATTTATTACTAAAGCAAAGTTTAAACTCGGGACTATTGGATCTAAAGTTTAACGCTTTAACCAATAACATCATTATGATATATGAGTATAACTATAGCACAAAAAACATAATATTTAAAAAGTAATTTAGTCAACCTTTACATAAAATTGAAAACTAATTACAAAAAAATTAGAAAATTTAAGTGACATACCAACACTTTAAGTATATCAAGCAGTTATTAACAGATATCGCGACCTTTTTAATGAACTCTGTAATTCTGCTTAAATGCAGATAGTAACATAAATTAAATGACTTTTAAAAACCATCTTATCTTATTATTTATTATCTTTGTCGATCAATCATCAATAATTATCTAATCAACCAACTAATCAATAATCATTTCAACTATTGTTTGTTCCAACTGATTAATTATTTTAAATAAGAAAATTGATCAAAAAATGGAAATGAAGACTTGTTCTATATACTTTATTCTGTCGTGGTTATTTTTTTATTTTGCGAGACAAAAAGATTTTTAACTGGAACTCAATCTAAGGCTATACGTGCGCTTTTATGTAGGTTCTTTGATCTGATATATATTTTGTTTTTACTTTTGTTTTTTTGTGACATTCACTTAAACTTGATGGTAAACAAAAATCATTTTTATGTGTATTTTATTGTTTATAAGACTATACGATAAGTAATGTTTTAAATAATGCACAAACAAAAATATATAAATAGGGTAAAAAATTTGTTTTTTGCGGTATGTGTTTTTTGCGGTATACACTTTTTTAGAGAAAAATAGCTATAGAATACTTGAAATGTTCTTACTAGTTCACAAAATCTGTAAAAATGTGTACAAAACCATTCTAAACAAAAATTAAAGATTTATTGTCTGCATAACTTTAACTAGATAATTAAATTTCAAGGATTGAATTTTTTCTCTGCAAAACGAAATTTGAGATGATTCAAGTTTTTCATTTTATACTACAATTAATGAATATTATCTTTGATGATAATAGTAATTAATATTTTAGAATACATAACTATATTTAATATTTTTGATTCTTAATTGGGAATATAATGCTTATTCAATTAATAAACGACATTAAAAGTTATGTAAACAATTAATGTATTTTTTGCGGTAAAAAAAAATTTTTTTTTAGTCCCATTTTAAAGTAATTTATGTGATTTATTATGTAAACAAGGATAATTTTTATACTTTTGATGAAGAAAAAGCAACAACGGTCGTTTTATCTCGAAAATATAAAAATATGAAGCTTTTTTTATGCAGGAGTAGGCACTTTTTTTTTTATTTAATGGAAAATGAAAACAAAACAAATACCATAAGTTAGAGCTAATTAGTAACGTTTAAAAAATACCAAACTTATATTATTATATTAATATTAAAAAATTGTTATACTATTTTTAGCATAGTAGCTGACCAGACATGTAAAAATACCGATCTTTGCAAGTCTATTCCACACCGACCTTTCTATAATATATATCCTTTTCGGACCCGTAAAATACGGGTCTTCACCAAACCTACCATTTTTATACTTAACTATTCCACACCGATCATTTCTATACCTATTCTTTATTTACTTCAATATTATTAATTTAGTAAACTAATTCATGATTTAAGAGCAAAATAACTAACATGAGCACGTTAATCGCATGCGTAGAGCTTATTAGAGATTTATATTAGTGCGCTTTTATAAGTGTCGTTTCGGGGAGTTTAAGACCTCCCCTTAGCGTAATGAATTTTGAAATTTTTTCATTCTTGGTTATATATTTGTAGCAAAAAACCATAATATAGCAAAAAAGATTTCTAGTTTCAAAATAAAATTTTAAAGCTTTCTCATTTTATAGATATATTATAGATATATTCATTATACACGTCAAACTCAACATATGCTAAACTCAACATATGCGTCTACATTTACAGACGTTTGTACGTAACGCTATACAAAAGGCTGATCTAAGCAATAAAAATACCGCCTTAGCTATAAAATCTAAAGCTAAGCCGAAAGAACTTCGCGCAGTAACGTCAGTTTGTCGCAAAAAAGAAAAAACTTTTATAAGTCGAGTTTGATTTCGCATTTATCTTATATTTTTTGATTAATTTTGAATATGGTGGGGTTGCAAAAAAAAAATATATAAAACTGCTAAAGATATATAATTTCACAGATAAGAGTTTGTATTTATTATAATAGTAATAAATGAATAGTTATAAAGTTATAAATAGTTATAAAGAAATAACATAGAAATTGCTATATTTAGTTTTTATTTGAATATATTCTATAAAAACATATTCTGTATATTTTTATAAAAAAGGAATTTTTCAAAAAAATTTAAATAAAATTTTATTTCTAGTTTGTTTTTCTAGTTTCTTGCCACAAAGAAACGTCACGTACGCAAAATGTTTTTGGCTTCAACTATTTACGAAAAAGCCGCGTCTATTATTTCTAATGGTCTAAAGAAAAAGACGACATAATTTTAGCAATCAGAATTTGTGAAGAGAGAGGTGCAAATCTGAAGTTTCAAGTTTTCCACTTGGATGAGGCATATTTTTCGTGTTTTTTCAATCTTGTTAATTTTTTAAATCGCAAAACATAAATATAAAAATTCAAAAATTCAAATTAAATTTTTAAATTAGATTTAAATCGAAAAAGATTAAAGAAAAAAGTCACTTCGAACCATGGCTTTTTTGTTCAGAAGCTCAGCGAGCTTTTGGCCACGCTGACACATTACCTAATGAAAATTTTAAAACTATATAATAAATAAAAGAATTTATAAAATGGAAATGAATGCTATAGATTAAAATTAAGGAGATGTTGCCACAATGCAACTTTCAAGTAAAAGTAAAAATATAAAACTTCATATATGTTTTAGCATCTTTTAACGTTACATAATTTAAACCTTACGTTAAATATTTACGTGAAGTTAAATATTTACGTAAGTTAAATATGCACCTTCGTTCACGTTTCACTTTTACAAAAAAGTTCTGCGACTCTTTCTCGCCACTACCTCGGTTTCAATGGCTGCTAAGGGTTCCGTGTTAAACACGCTCGAATAGGCATTAACGAGTTGCTTATTATATTATGATATGATTGTAATATGATATGATTATAATAGTAATATTAAATAACTTTGAATGGTAGTAACTTTTAAACGAGAAATGTTTTTGATGAAATTTAACATCTGTTGATAATTTTGATTTAGTTTAATATTATACTAAAAAAATTTGAAAAATTTTGTTTCAGGAATCATACCTAAGGGTGGGCTTTTAGGGCTCCAACAGGGTTAGCTGCAATTAGTTTATTGCCGTAAAAAAAATTATTCTGGTCTATTGTAAAAAGTATATATTATACTTTTTACAAGCTACCTGCAAATTGAAAACTACTTTTAAAGTTTTTGTATTTGTAAACAACAACTGCATTTTTTAGCACTACAATATAGTTTTGACTGCGCACTATAACTTTTCTTATTCGCCAAAACTGATTGAGATCCTGATGAATAGATTTGAGAGCTTATCCTGTAATCTAAGCCTACATAATATAAAATGTACAAAGTAAATTCTAGTCTACTTAATGAGTTATCGTTGTAGTTTCTGCAACTTTTATCTTGCATAAACCGTTAAAATATTGTATTAATAAGTAATTAATTACTATTATTATATTTAATTAATATTATTATAATCATTTATCAAACTTTGAGTTTGTTTATCATACCTTGCATGTTGATGAAATTGATAATATGTTGTTCAACTATGTGTACCTTCAAAGGAATTGTAGCCCCTAGATCTCTTTAGCTCCTAGAGAACTGCTCTATATCTTTGACATAAGTAGAGCCTAACGGTTTTCCAAAACAGCCATGAACTATTTTTTTAAAATCTCTAAGAACCCTTATGTATTTGGCAGCGAGATTGCCAAAGTTAGACTCGTGAAAAACAACTTAAAGCTGTCTATGTTTTTCAGAAAATTATTGTAAGCATACTCTGCACATGTTTATTGTAGACAGATATCGGTTGACAAACTGTAACTCACACTCCTTGTTTTCAAACAAATCTTGTTTAATCTCTATTAAAATTTTGTCTACAACACTTAATAGTATATGTAAACCGGAAATATTTACAAGATCTATTATTTTTTTATTTTTTTCCCCTATTATTAAAGGGGGTTGAACATTATTGGTGTACATTTTTGCGTATTTTAATTTTGAACCATCAGATATCCGTTGGTTGAATAATCTACACAAAGAATATAAAAAAAATGATTAGCATTTTGAAGATATTAGGAGATGAGATGATGCAAAACGGACAAGGGTGCTTTGATGTTGCAGTTGCAGTTTGTTTTCCAACCATTTTAAGCAAAACCTTTATATCCTCAGATACTCTTTAATTTATAGAAGAAAAGTTTAACTTATTTAAAACTATCCGCAGATTATGGTAATATTTGTTCAATGAAGGCAAAATGGTGATGAAGGACCAGTGTTACAAGCTCTTCAACGTCGTTGTAATACACCATAGGAGTACCTTTTTCTACCAAATAAAAAATCAAAACGAATAGTACAGATAGCGTTCTAATTATCTAAAAAAATTGTAAGTAATAAATTACTCACCTTTTTGTTTTTTTTTACTCCTAATAACAATGGGAATTTATAAACATTGAATGATTTTCCAATCAGCTTGTTGTTCTCAGTCAGTTTATTATGGAAACCAGATTCCATATTTTTTCGTCCTTGATCACTTTTCAGAAATTGTGCAACTTCAATTATATTGCGATTACTTAGAAGTCATAACTAAATTATTTAAAAAAATTGGCTTTAAAATTTTAATCTAATTATCAAAAAAATAATTTTAAGCATCAAAATCTTACCTGGTATGTAACTTTAGTTGAAGTTTGTTCAATTTATCCAAAGGTTTCTTAACCTCATTCTTTCCGACAAAGACGACAAGTTGCTTTGAATCAAAAGTTTTTTATAAAATTTTAACAATTAGCGACGCATAGCCGTTGCTAACTGTTAAAAAATTTGAAATAGCAGTAACTGAAATAGTAATATTTATTAAAGCTAATAATTTAGTTTGTTATCTCATAAATAATTTTTTTTTTTTTATGTTTTTTTCTGTTATATTAAACTAAATCAAAATTCATTGACAGATGTTAAGTTTCATCAAAAAAATATTTCTTGTTTAAAAGTTACAACCATTCAAAGTTATTTCAGGGGGTTAATAAGCGGAATTTTCAACTTCTTATGGCCAAAAATCTTTTTTATATAATTAACTACGCGGAATGCAAGTTTTCGATCGCGATAAAGATGTTGCAATTTACTTTTCTCAGTACTTATTAAGGTAAGTTTCAACTCATCCGTTTTTTCACGGGAACGGGAAAGGAAAGGGAAAAATAATCACGTGAGCATGCGTAGTTTTCCTTCGGACATATTAAAACTTATACTACGCATGCCCACGTGGTTATTTTTCCCTTCCCTTTCCCGTTCCCGTAAAAAACGAATGAGTGGAAACTGGCCTTTATGCAGGCGATGATTGCATAATTTATATGTGTAAAAATGAATAACAGGTTGTTTTTTTTAAAATAATTTCGGAATTTGTTTAAAATGCCAATATTTTTGAAAATTTTGGTGCTTACATAATCAATATATTTTCTCCAAGTAATATTCTCATCAAGATAAACACCTAAGAATGTTATAACAGTATCTTTTTTTATTATATTTATTATATTTTATTATATTTATTATCATCAATATAAATATGAGGCGTATGGGAAAAAACGTTTTTTTGCGGAGGAGTGAAAAACAATTCATTTTGTTTTGTTAATATTTAAAGTTAATTTGTTAGCCATAAACCAATCAGAAATGTAATTGAGTTCTTTGTTTGTAGTTGAAAAGAGTTTATAAATATCAGTATGGGATAAGAAAAAATTTGTATCATCAGCGAACATTATACTTTTCAATTTGGAAAATTTTCAATTTGGTTTTGTTTAAATCATTAACATAGATTACAAATATTAGTGGTCCGAGAATAGAGCCTTCTGGAACACCACAGGTTATGCTGAGGGGTTCACTTTGCTGACCATCATTACTACTTACAAGTTGTTTTCGATTTGTTAAACAGCATTCAAACCATTTTAAGATTCTATTGTTTAAACCATAATATTTAATTTTTCGGATTAAAATCTAATGTTTGACCGTATCAAAAGCTTTTTGATAGGTCAATAAAAACACCAAGTGTATATTGAGATTTTTCAAAAGACTTGTTATGCATAAATTGAATAATCGCTTGTTCAATTAAACCCCCCTTTCTGAAACCATACTGACTGTTATGAAGTAAGTTGTTGTAATTAAAATAATTGTATACCCTGTTGACGATAATTTTTTCTAAAATTTTAGAAAATATAGTAAGAACAGAGATAGGACGATAATTACTGATATTGGATATGTCGCCTTCTTTATGGATATGGGTGACCCTGGCGAGTTTTAAAAGTTCAGGAAAAATACCTTGATGGATAGATGCTTTAAAAATTTTAAAAAGAACATTTTAAAATTGTTTGTAGCAATCTAAAACATTGTTTTCGTTTATTTCATCTGCACCTGGTGCTTTATTGTTTTTTTAAAGATTTGAAAGCTTTCTCAAACTCATCAAATGATAGTTCGGCAGATAATTCTTCAGAGCAAATATCTTTACCAATATGCAATCACGCTTTATTGCTTAGCGTGTTGCCAGCTTGTTTGCAAGTAATTATCTATAATAACTATGAGTGGTTATATCTTTTTGGACATAAATTTATATTAGACAATATAATAATTTAGTTTTATTAAAATGGTTAATTAGTTTTTTCTTTTTTTAATCAAATTCTTATTCCTTTATTAGCTTATAAGCTTGTGGCCGCCAGACTTATGTTATTTTATTAAGGCTGAAAATCTCTCAGCGCATACACAAGTAGAAACGATGGTCAACTATGTACTCTAGGTCATGGTGGCTTTGTCTGGTAACAGGTACCAAAGGTGTTCAAAGTACCGGCTAAACTACGTCAATATATAAAGCTTAATTTTCTTACCATTTTTTTTGAAGTAGTATTAGAGATCATGCCATCCATTGCCAGGCACTTATCATGGTGGCAAACCCCTGCCAGAAACCCTTAAACTTCAAAAAATTGTAACTGTATTTACGTTATAGTATATAAGTTGAAATTTATACAAGTTACTTGGGTAAATATTATATGATGTTTTCTCGTTAGCCAGACACTTTCTACAGTTCTAACCTCTAGGCAGACAAGTATATACGAGGAGCCCTCGCAAAAGCTTTGCAAATGAATTTAATCATATCAATCAGTAATTTTATTAACTTTGTCTTTTAAAAAATATCATTTAAAATATTTTGCGTGAAAGTTGTTAGTCATTATGAAAGTTGTTAGACATTACCATGAAACTCAACGCTTAACTATAATGATTTTTTTAAACAATAAATTCTTTAGTTTATTTACACCAATTTGTGAAGATGCTTTGAGTCTCATAATTTTTTTCACTTCATTATTATTTAATTTTTTTTTATCTGTTTTATACAGAATTTTTCAAGTATAAATTATAAAAAATATTATATTTGAGCATGTTGTCATAATCTAAATTTTTATCAAAAGTGATAACTTTACTTTAATTTCAGAAACTTTACACAATTTTAGATTATTTTTTTATTGAAAAATGAATGGGTTAATATTTTTAACAAATTTATGAGTTTTTATTTACCAAGTTGAATTACCAACCCAGTTCACCTTCTGGTGTAGGAAAGTATTCTTTAAAGTCGTCTCTAACTTGTTTTGCTTCTTTCGAGTGTGATAATGGTTGTAGTGTTGCTGAATTATCTTTCCTGCAATTGTCTGTTCTAAACCGAGAAGGACCGTCAACATCAGTGTAATTTGTGGGGCAGTAGAGAAAATTATTTACTTATCTTTTTTTCATAAGAAAGCTACGTTAAACTACAATTGCTTGTGTAATTAAGACCATTTTTTCAAGATTAGCGATAATTGGTCTGCGAAATATACGAAATCGTGTTGTAGCAATACCAAGTATATTTTCCATTACCCTACTAACCCTTAAAATTCTGTAATTAAATTTTTTTTTATCTAAAGATATATTTTGATTAAGGTACGGTTTCATCATGTGCTTTTTAAAACCAAAAGCATTGTCAGCAACAAAAACATAGGGTAATATTTTTTCGGAATTACCTATATTTTCTGGGTCAGGAATATTTAATTTATTATTTTCAATTGCATAACCAAGACTGAAATTATTAAAAACACTACCATCACTTCGTTTTCCTGAGTCACCAATGTCCACCATAGTGAATTCGTATTTAGCATTACAAGCAGCTAGAAGGACTATGTTATGCGTTTTTTTGTAGTTAAAATATTCTGATCCAGCGTTATGAGGAGCTTGCATGACGATGTGTTTGCCATATATTGTACCTATAACATGGGGGAAGTTCCACATTTTTTTCAAATTATTTTGTAATTGATTTTCATTCTTGTTTTTCTGATGGAACGTGTAGAAAATGTCTTTCTTTCAATGACGACCATATAGCAGCACACGTTTCACTAATAACTCTGCTGATGGTAGAAGCGCTGATTCTATTAACTTGCAGTAATAATAGATTGAGCATCTTCTGTTACAAGGAATCAAAGTGTTACAGCCAACCTTTCACTTGGGCTAACAGGGTCTCTCGTTATAGTTCTTTGCTTCATAATTGTAGGCGCTACATACGAAAGCAACTCTTCGTAAGTTGTTGGAAACATACGAAAGTACTTAAAAAAAATTCTTGTTCGTGGAAACTTAAATCTTGTACAAATAAATGAAACTCTCCTTTCTGTAGTCGTTCGGCATAATTTTTCTTTACCCAAAATTGCTTTTTGTTTATTTTTCTCATTTCATTTTCAACATTTAAAAAAAATGTTATTTTTCTTCGAAGCAGCAACAACTTTTTTCTAATCCACATGTTTTCCAGAAAGCGCGCCAACAGTTTTGCTAGTCGAAATTAAAATTTTGACTCAACGCGACAAAATAATTCGTTTCGTCTAAATTGATTCGTTCCGTGGAACTCCACCTTTAGATGTAAAACTAACAATTTTGCTAACATAAATTCTTGTCTGGTTAGGCGTTAGAACTGTAGAAAGTATCTGGCTAATGAGGAAAAATTTTATAACAGTTAACCAAGTAACCTGGATTTTTTTCAACCTTTATACGATAACGTAGGTACAGTTACAATTTTTTCTCCAAAAATGATGAGTAAAAGCAATTGCTTTTTTATATTCACCCTTATTTTCTCATATTGGTTGTTAAAATTAAAATATATCGTCATAATATTTTAATAATTTTTTATGGTTTTAATTTCAGAGTTTCAATTTTAATAAAAAGTTAGAAAATTAATTTAGTATTCATGTCCTTTTTAATAAAGAAGTTCAGAAATCTATTTGCAATTTTTTTATCTTTGTTTTTAGTAAAACATTTTTGAAATGCATGTCTGCGGACAGACATATATAATAAAATGATTAAAAATTTAGGGACCGCCATTAAAGATCTTGCGGGCCGCCACCTTGACATGCCTGCTTTATATTTGACGTAGTTTAGCCGGTATTTTAAATACATTTTGCACCTGTTACCAGCCAAAGTCACCTTGATCTAAAATACCATTATAACTACTTGTGTTAGAAACACAAGCTGAGAAATTATTAGCTTTTATAAAATAGCGTAGGTCTGGTGGCTACTTGATCTTGCTTCATATACTTTGTTTAATTTTGAATTCGAAATTTGATAGCAAACAATATTTTATTTACGTTTTCTTTCTACCTTCAGAATGGCCACAGACACATTTATTACTATTAATTCTTATTATTAAGTTTTTAACCTAATAACTAAATAATATGATTACTCTCACCTAAAATCTGATTAATTAGTACATATAAATAATTTTAATCTACAATACTTTCATAATTTAGTTATTAAAATACAGTATAATTAATCAGGGACGGATCTATCCTGACTATCCGACGGGTATCCCACGATGCCCAGGATTCACCCATAATATTTTAATAATTTATAATAAAATCTTCAAAAAAAAGTTAAACTTATAATTTATATATGTGTATATATATATATATATATATATATATATATATATATATATATATATATATATATATATATATATATATATATATATATATATATATATAGTTAGTTAGTTATTTAGTATTTATTGCTGTAACTGTGAGCATGTTTTTAAGCACACTGTGACAGCCGCTTTAATCGATCGATGTTAGTCTAACAGTCAAATCCTGATTTAAAGGAGTTTACAGACGATGGTTTGAATAGTTCCATAATGGTTTGAGTTCGATAAGTTTGCCGATCTATTGTAAAAGAAATTATGCCTTTGCAGATTTTTTGTTGTTTTCCTATAATATTTGAAACAGTAACCTCTATTACGATTTTGAACAGTTTGTATGTTGTGTTCTGTTTTATTTATGTTGTTCATTATTTTAAATAGTTGGATCATATTACCTCTTTCTCTTCGTTTAGTTAGAGTTGTCAATTTCAAAACTACACATTAATCAACATTAAAATTTAAAGGTCAGTATTCTGTCCATTAAAATGATATACTTAAATCCCTCTGTAGACTTGAGGTACATTCATCTGAAATTACAAAATCTTATTATCATCAGCAAACAATTTGCATTTATTCATTAATTTACTTTACATGCAGATCATTAATGTTTATAATAAACATTAAGGGTCCGATAACAGAACCTTGTGCGCTTAAAATTTGATCCACTCAGAAAAACTTTACCGAAAACTATTCTTTGTTTTCTATTATTTAGAAAAACCTCCATCCATTTTAGAACAAAGACATTAAAACCATTTGCATTCAATTTAGCAAAGAGTCTTATGTGAGGAATACTATTGAAAGCTTTAGCGAAGTCTAGCATTACTACATTAACAGGTATACGATTGCTATCGCACGAAGAAATAAAGTGAAGGGTCTCTAAAAAATTTGTGGTACAATATTTGCCTTTTACAGAACCATGCTGTTGGATTGTTAGGAAATTGTTTTTTATAGATGTTTTTCAATTTTTTCTCTTATAATAGATTCTAATATTTTGCAAGGAATAGAACTTAATGAAATAGGACAATAATTGCTTTGTCACCTTTTTATAAATCGGTTTTACATTTGCTGACTTGAACTGGATTTACAGTTGACTGGTTTTAAGTGATTCTCTAAATATAAGAGTTAGTGGTAAAGTAAACGATATAGCGCAATTCTTGAGGACTATTGTACAAAGTTTATCAGCTCAAGGTGATTGTCTTTTAGTGATTTAAGTTTAGAAAAAACTAACTCAAAGCTAATATCATCAGGTTCAATATCTTCAAATTTAATTACACCATTTAATTAGAGATAAAAAGGTGGAAGATATCCTAATTTTTCAATAGTAAAGACATCCTGAAAATGTTTGTTTAGGCAGTTTACAATTTTATTTGGTTCATGGGATAAATCACCATTAGGCATTCTTATGGCCTATACAGGGGTGGGACCGCAAAATGTGAACGTTTTTGTTTTATTATAACTATTTTCTCGTTAGATGTAGTTGAGTTTATTTGATAAAAAACGAAAGACAAAGTACTAATGAATATGTAAACAAAGTAAAATATAATATGTAAAAAAAACAAAAATTGAACATTTAAAATAGTTCATATTTAACAGAAAATTAATTATTACAATCAGAAAAGTGTTCACATTTTGCGGTCCCACCCCTGTATTGATTCTTTTATTGAATTTGTACTGTTTAAATACTTATATAGCAGGTTAGGATTAAGTTTAGAGGTTAATATTATTAATTGCTTGATTTCGTTATTAATTCAAGGAGTTGTTAAGCTTTTGATTATCGAAATGTCTATGGTTGGAACAAACAAATTGCATGCTTCAGTGGTATAGTAAATTAATTCGTTGTACATGTCTTGCACTGTCTTGTTGTTGTACAACTTCACCCAATTTGTATTGGATATAAAATCAGAAATTTTATCAAATTTAGCTTTGCAATACAAAAATTTAAAGTTACTACAAGCCAATCTGCTAACATTATTTTTTAAGATGAATTTAAAGTAAATAATTTGATGACCTTTGTTTATGTCACCAAGCACAAAACTTTGATCGACAGCATATAAACTACCAGATTCTGTTGTAAATATTAAATCTAAAACATTTGAGGTTGAGCCATTGGCCAGTTGAAAAATTGGTATGTTTATATGTTGATAGAGGTATCACTTAAAGTTTTATAGAGTTTATGTTCTATGCCACTGTCATCTGAAATTGATCTCTAGTAGCAAACAATATTGGCGTAATATTGGCACGATATTGGGTATCTTGGCTAATCTTTGGCGAAATATTGTTTGCCAATATTGGCTTTATTTTAAATTTTACATATGGTACGCATGCGAAACATTAAGGAATATTCATAATGTCCTTTAGTTTTGTTAAATGTGTTAAAATGTAAATAATAGCATCTTTTTACATAAACAGGCATTCTTATGTTATTAATTTTTTAACAAAAACAAATAAGAATTCAAAATAAAAATTTTAATTTATGAAAAGAGAAGAAAAAGAAAAAGTATTTTTAATTCAACATTTACAGAGTGAATCAGGAGAAGTGTTGGTAATTTATTTTGAAACAGATAGTATCACGAAAAGAAGTAATAAAATTCTTTTATTCAACATTGCGAATTGAATTACGAGATGAAGTGGTTGTAATTAAATTAAAACATATTGCATCACGAGAAGAATAAGAAAAATATTGCTATACTCAAGAATCAAGATTAAAATAGTAAATTTACTCTTAAATGAAAATACTTTGAGAAGATTTCATCTATATAATATAAGTTTTATAGTCTGTTTATTTTATTAAAAATATTCGTTTAAGAAATAAATACGTCATTATTATTGTTTCTAACTGTTATAAGATTTTAATTTACGAAAAAGGTACCCCTGCTTGACACATAATAACATCAATAATATATATATATATATATATATATATATATATATATATATATATATATATATATATATATATATATATATATATATATATATATTTATAGGTCTATTTATATATATATATATATATATATAAATATATATATATATATATTTATATATATATATATATATATATATATATATATATATATATATATATATATATATATATATATATATATATATATATATATATATATATATATATATTTATATATTTATTTATATATATTTATTTATATTTATATATATATATATATATTTATATATATATATATATTTATATATATATATATATATATATATATATATATATATATATATATATATATATATATATATATATATATATATATATATATATATATATATATATATATTATTGACCTTCACACACACATATGCACACACACACACACGCACATAAATTTATTACAAGATAATAATTTTGCAATAAAAATTTTTTTTTTATGTCTCTTATTTTATATAGCATTTTATTTTATGCAATAGTTTAATGCAATGCTATAGGTAATAAACAAATCAATAAGTTAAGCTAGATCTGCTACATCACGTTATGTTAAGAGTAGTTAAACAAGATTAAAGTAAAATTCACACAATAAGTAATACTGAAAATAGTAAAAATTATATAAATGCGACTTTAAAAATGCAATAAACTTTAGTGAGGATTGATGTTGGACATTAGCCTTGGAGAATAAAACTGATATAGAAAATTTATATCAGATATATTGAAATCTTTCAACACATTTCACAACTCCTACTTCTAAAATTAAAAGCTTATAGAATAAATGACTAACTCTACAATTGGATTTTAATGTTACCTAAGAGATCGGCATTAGAGTATCATTGTAAGTGGTACATACTCAGAATGGATAATAGTAAATAGTGAGGTCCCTCATTATTTACTTTTATGATATATAATAAAGATTTTTCTGATTTGGTTTTAGATGTATCTGTATTTACAGATGATACTAAGTTATACAGTTTGCTTTTTGATAGCTCACCATGCAATAACCTGCAATAAAGTATGGACATTATAGCAAACTGGGCAAAACTATGAAAACTAAGTTTTAATTTAAAAAAATGTAAAGTTATACCCTTAGGACCAACAAATACAAAATTTTCCCTTAAGACAAACAATGCCCTTAGGATCAACAAATACAAAATTCACTTATATACTCGTTGATAAAAATCTCAATACTTCAATTAATATTAAAAACTCTAAAGAAAATATTAAAAACTCTAAAATAAAATAAAGGGATCTTCATTGACAGTAATTTGACTTATATTTTGTAAGTACTAAGAATCTCACCGCCAATAAAGTTGTAAGAATGATCAAAAGATCATTTGTCAATCTCAATATCTTGACATTTCGTACTTTGTTTATTTTCCTTGTTCGTCCTCACCTTGATTCTTGCAGCTCTGTCTACTATCCTAGACTTTAAAAAGACCAAAAATTAATTTAAAATGTTCTATGCTAGTCTAGTAAATTTGTCTTCGGCCAGACTGGACTCACTTACAACCAAAGACTACTGAGACTAAATTTAACTAGCATGAGCTATCGTTTCTTATGGAATGACATGGCAAAAACTTACAAATGCATTCACAATCTTTACAATTGTAGTTGCAACCCTTTTGTTTCCTCATAAAATACCATTCAGTATTTTATCTATCAACACCTGTGTCAGAATGATGTCGTCTGCACAGCCATTATATTTGTTATTGTAATTACAGACCATTAAGTAGTTAACCTGAGTTGTAATAGCATGCTTGTTAATATGGCCATTTCTTAATATTAATATATGATTATATATTTAGTTTGTATTTATTCAACTCCAACTTAACAACATGCGATTATGCTTATAAATTGAAAAAAATGTTTTGTAAGACAGATGTCCTGAAAAAACTTTTCAAATATGGAGTTCACAAATTTGTAGAATAGTCTACCATCTGAAATAGTGTTCAACATCTGTCACGACAGTAAAAAAACATCTAGATGCATCTTGGGTTCATTAAATGTGCAATTGCAAAATGGTAAATATTTACGAAGAGCCTCAAGTTGTTTATCTTCCTTAATGTCATATTTGAATAAGAAAATATTATCATAGAAAACTTTCCAAACTGCGCAAACTTTAAAATTCACTTTTTTTTACTAACCAATAATTAAACTCTACTTGCAATAAAAAGCGATTACATTAAACATTAAGAAATGAATCTCAATAATTTTTAGACTAATATATTTAGTTTAACAAAAAAAAAATCTCAAAAAGGAAAGTTAATCTGAAGTTTTTTTATATCATAAATTTATTTGTAATTATTTTTTAGCTGATGTACCGTTAAACTGAAGGTGGTAATAAAGTTTACAAAATTTGCTCTGGCTGAATTTTTCAATGAAAAAACAATATGTGTGCCATAAATGTAATCCGTTTTTCATGGGGTATCAATAAAAGTTTGATGTATTGGTCAAATCACTTGCAAGCATCTTGCTATTAAACTGCCATACGTAAAGTCACGCTTTTAAAAGTAACTGAAAGCAGTTGAAAATAAGAATTTTTTGGTAATTGTCTTATTTACAATATTGTTTTTGTTTTATTTACAGTATTGTCTTTGTTTTTTATCTAAACAGCTATGTTTGACTCAAATATAGTAAATGTTGATTGTTTATTATGGTTTAATCTCTTCTTTATACTTTTTTTTGGCAGTTATGAGACTGCTTTAGAACGGAATTATCTGTGCCTCCAGCTTAAAAAGATGCAGGTTACAAAAAAAGTGACACTAATGAGATTGCCTCTCAGTTTCTCAAAGATTAAAGAAATCTTTAGTGTTTTAGGGTTAAGTGATTCCATCAGAGCTTTGCTTGACCATCTCTTTCGATTTATTTAATTTATTTGCCGATTATAGATAAAAAAAGATCTTCTAAACCTAGAAGAAAAATTATGGAACAAAGATACCTTATGAATGAATAGTATATATCAGTGAATTGATATTAGTTAATAGTTTTTGGAAACAGTACCATGTACTATTAAAGTTTCAAATTTTTAAAATATATGATACATTTATATGAAACATACAAACAAATGATCCAATATGATACGTTATTGACTATAATTATGTTGTATATCAGAATGTTTTATATAAATGCTTATTACATTTTATTGTGATTTTTATCTTTTATGCCCAGTTAGCGTTGTATTTTGTATAGCAATGACTACTAATCTCAGATATCTATGACATCTATAGGGTGTATTCACCGCTACAGATGTCATAATCTAATTATAACCAATTGCTTTTACTCTTCCATAATGTCATATTTTAATAAGAATCACATTATGGAAAACCGTCTAATACATACACATGAGGAACCATTATACTTTTAGTACAACCAATTATATTATATTTGTTTTCTTATTTTATATGAACTTTCTTACTTCGGTTAAGGAGATGAGAAACAACTTATAGCGGCAATCTTAATACAGCTAGTGGCCAAAGAAATATGTTTTTCATCAGTGTATACTCAGTGTATGGAATGAAACAAAAACGTCCTGCAAGGTCGTTATAGGTAAAGCACAATATATTTGTATTCTACATCCCATTTCCTTTTAATAAATAAATATTTTAATAAAAGCTAATTACTTTACAATATTTATACGTGAAAAGTTATATATTTCAAAATTATATTGTGATGATATTTAAAAAACATTTTGTAGAGTTGCTTTTAGTCGTTTATCGTTGTATTCGTTCATTTCGAAATCGTTGCTGACAAAAGTATTAAAGAAAAAATTGGCAGCTTTCTGGCGACGGCCATTAATAGAGATTACGGAAGAAAAATAGAACCGTAACTGAGCAAAACCCAATATTGAGCAATGAAACAAGTATCGCCAATATTATGAAAGTCGATGCCCACTATCTCATAGTGAGAGTATAATACAGTACTTTTAATAACATTGATTTTATTTTATTATATTTTGGTTTTGGAAAACTCTATACCTCTTTTTTCATTTGTATCTGTTTCATATAATTTCAAATAAATTTAATGATTTCAAATTTTTTTTTTCTTAAAGCGTGTTCCATGATTATTGTCATCTCCTAGACTATAACCTGTTTTACTCAAAAGAATAATGCAGCCAAGTACTATAGTATCACTTAAACAAGAAAACTGTTAGTAATTTTAATTATTACAAATTTGTAGAAGGCAATATTTTTTATTATTTTTCAATAATAAAAATTTAATCGAAAATACTCAATATATTGCCTTAATTTAGTTATATATATTATATATATCAGGATAATATTGTAAACTATATTAGGCCAATATTGACCAGTATAATATCCCCATTATTGGCGCGATATTATTTACAATATTGGCGCAATATTATAAACTATATCGAGCCAATGTTGCAGTGTGAACATTTTGCCTATATTGGTCAATATTGACTTTACAGTATTGGGGCAATATTGTATCGCCAATATTGACTTTATAATATTGGCGCAATATTGTAGCGCCAATATTGGCCAATATTGGCAAAATGTTCACACTGCAACTTTGGCCCATTATAGTTTACAATATTGCGCCAATATTGTAAACAATATCGCCCCAATATTGCGCCAATATTGTTTGCTACTAGGGATGCTATACTACCGTTTGACCATTTAATATCTGAGAAATTGAAATTACCCATAATTAGTACATCTTCAAAAGCTATTAACATAACTTCTTGCTATCTTAAAAATATTGTCAAAATCAACCATATCAACAACATAATTTGGTCTGTATAAACAACCAACTAAGTATTTATCTTGGCCAAAATGAATAATGCCCAAACTTGTTCGATTTTGCTAATACTAATACTAAAATCAGTGTCAACCAGCTCATACGAATCTATTAAATTTTCTAAATTATAAGCATACATCGTTTCCTCTACGATCACCAGTTCTATCATATCTGTATATATTGTACCCAGGAATATTTACAATTGAATTATTATTGAACCATGTCTTGCAACAATTAATGGACAATACAAACTAGTTACAACCTTTAATTTATCTAATTTATTTTCTAGTGAGGTAGCATTCAAATAAATACAATTATGCTTCCAGTTAATAAAGGTGCTTTAAGTACAGTTTTGATTCTTCTTGAACTTTTGCAATTGGTTACCACGGATGCCATATCGAAATGCAGAGTTTGTTTCAAGGTTTTGATTAAGCCTTTTTCTTTTTTGTCTAAGTTGGATCTCGAGTTGTCTTTCGGCTTCAGTTAGATCTGGACTTAAATAAATCTGTTTATGATCGATGCTGTAACTTAATTTTTTGGTTGCTAAAAGAACTGGATTACTAATGGATGGTTCATTCAGTTCAACTAAAATTAAAACAGGCTTTTTTTTGTCTTTTGATCTAAGTCTTCTGATATAAACTAGTTTAATATCTGCTTTGCTATTAAAATCAAAATCATTTGTTATCTTTTTGTTCAGGTGGCTTTTTACCACTTTTGCTACCTTTTATAACAATTTGCACCCATTCGTTACCAATATTGGCTGAATTTACATTTTGCTTTGATTTACTTAGGTCATCTTTCAGGCTGTCAATAATTTTTACTTGGGTAACAGTTTTGAGGCAGGAGAATGATTACCCTGTCCAAAATAGGGCCAGTTTACTTGGTTTTAGAAATTGCTTTCCATTTCCATCTTCTATCATTTTATCGGAAGACTATCACCCTAAATAGTGGATTACTTCCTGTACTGAACTCTTTACTCTTTCATTTCTTTGCAAACGAATGTGGCTTATTACACAGGGACTTTTTAAGACAATTAAACAGGAGTTATAATTGTGTTTTTTTCCATATATATATATATATATATATATATATATATATAAATTGTTAAATATTTGTTGTTTATTTGTTTTTTTAAATAATTTCTATAAAATGAATTTTCTTTTTTATATCTCATACTCAAATAACGTGAGCTACACAATTGATCTTTTTAACTTATAAAAAAAATTGGACGAAATAAAGTAACATATAGACAAAATAAAATTCTTTAATAAGAATATATATATATATATATATATATATATATATATATATATATATATATATATATATATATATATATATATATATATATATATATATATATATATATATATATATATATATATATATATATATATATATATATATATATATATATATATATATATATATATATATATATATATATATATATATATATATATTAGGATGGGTCATAATTTTTTTTTTTCTTGTTACAGGCTCTAAACATTGCTAGAAAGTTGTTTTTTTATGTACTAATTTGGGAAAGTATTTACTTTTATGGATTGAACAACGTCTTCCACCCGCAACTATAATTACAAAAATTAGCAGGGCCTATTATTATTCAAAAAAAAAGGTTTTCAAAATTATGTGATGTAAGTACTTAAACAAAGCGAAATTTTATAAAAATTTCAAAATTATACTTTTTTCAAATAAAAATTATTATTTTAGATTTTATTGCATAATAACTATAGTTTTTAACTAAAAGTGAAAAAGGTGCTTTTTTACATGTTTTTTAATAACAATTTTTTTCAGCAATATGATTTTTTTAAAAAACGGTTATTATTTTCGAATTTTTTATAGAATTTCGCTTCTTTTGAGTACCAGGTTGATCTACTTTTGAAAAACTTTTTTTCTCCAAAATATTAGGGTACCGGTATTTTTCCCAATAAAGTTGCGCCCTTTAAATCTATTACAATCATTCTCATATTTGATAGTATCAATATTAATAACTATTAGCAATGTTTAGAGCCTGTAACAAGAAAAAAAAACTTTTGACACACTCTCTCTCTCTCTCTCTCTCTCTCTCTATATATATATATATATATATATATATATATATATATATATATATATATATATATATATATATATATATATATATATATATATATATATATATATATATATATATATATATATATATATATATATATATATATATATATATAAATAAAAGAATGCAGAAATAGAGGATTAACCTTAGACAAAATGACAAACATTAAATGAAGTACTAAGTCCTATTTATCTTCTCTTTGGTGCATATTGTTAAGTGAGTTAAATAGATAATTATTAATGAACAGAAAAGCCATCATTATTAATGAGTTTATTTTAGATAAAAAAAAAATAATAATAATCAATATGTAATAAGTAGACAGACTCTTTTGCCCCATTAGCTGGAAAAAATGCATCAACCCTCTCCTCCACCCTTCCTTCCAATTTCTTTCTGCCTCCTGGTTATTTGAAAATAGGCATGATCCATAAAAAACCCTCTATCTTCCCCTGTTAATAAAATACATTTACCACAATAAAAAACTGATAAACTGGTGCATTTATGTATTTAAAAAACAATATCATACCACCGTTCATCTTTTGTTTCAACAACAGTTTTCAAAAAATTGTAAAGTTTTTCGAGACAAATACTTTTGCGTTGGATAAGTGTAATGCTATATTTTTAAACTTTGCAATGCAGGGTTACTTTATTCATAAAGCAAAAAGCTTGAATTAGATATTTCTGATTTGTTACATTAATTAATAAATTTGTTCCAAAAAAAATATAAAGATTAATAAAAACTCTTAAGAAAATAATCCTAAACACAAAAATCTTTTCTGAATGATAAAAAAATAAAAAGTACACAACTGCTACTGTGAAATTTTTTTTATCGATTTTTCATTTTATTTTTTAACTTCATAAAAAGTAATTGAAAAACAATTACTGAAACTATTTGATGAACGAATAAAGAACTTAAAAGATAATAGCTGGCAAAATGGTATGATATGAGAAGAATAAAATTAAGTAAATTAAAAAACATCACAAAAAAGCGAACTTTTAAATTGTTTGAGTTTTTATTAAAAATTACTATATAATAAAATGTATATATAAGAAAAAAACGAAGCCCCTTAGCTTTTTAAAACAGAACAAAAACTTACACTTCTACGCTTGAGTAAAAATAGAACTGTTTGCACAAGCCTCATAAAATAATAAAAAAATCATTCAGTTATCATAAATTCACAGCTAAGATTTTCAATTCACAAGTTGTAGACATCTTTTAATAAATTTTTCTGTTTAATTTTTTAAAGCTTAAACAAACTTGTCGTGAATCGAACTTGGATGTTCGATTAAATAAATAAAATACTTATTCAAACAAAAAAAAAAAAAAAGAACTATTTAACCTTTATTGCGTATAACTTCTTATATTCATCAGTCACATCCTGAAAATTTAGGACCTAATGCTGAAAATATATCCTATCAAAATTCTTTTAAACAATGATTGTGTATTTTATAAGGTTCTCATAACACCAAAAACTGAAATCATACTTTGAAATCCAACAGAGATATTTTAATTTGGATATTTTGTGCAGAAAGTTAAATTTGACCGTTATTTAATGGTAGATCACCTTTTAAAAATGTTTTTTTACAAGTTTTTAATTTTTTAAGTGATAATTGATTACACTAAACTTTGTAGGTACTTATAAAGAGCCTATCTGGAATTTTGATTGATTTTTTTGAGCTTAGAGAATTCACTCAGCATATTCCTATCACGTGCTTATTGTTTACATCCATGCAAAAAAATATTTCAATTCCGTGCGTCAAAAATTTGTTTTTTTATCATGCTACGTTTGCCAAAAACATGAAGACTGCAGAAAATCCGTTTGCTTAATATATAAAAAAGCAAACAGGTACTCTGAAAATTTGAGACCCTAATGCAGATGAAAAATCCCATCAAAGTCCTTTGAAGTACTTATACTGTATACCATAAAGTATCGATAATGAGATTACAAAAATTTGTATTGAAATCAAACGGAGTTATTAATATTGTTCTACAACTGATATTTATCTCAACTTTTGACTTCTCCCAATATATATATATATTTATATATATATATATATATATATATATATATATATATATATATATATATATATATATATATATATATATATATATATATATATATATATATATATATATATATTGATTTTAATAAAAAGGCAGCATATATCTATTTTTAAATATATGTAAAAATATATTAACGCTGACCGATTGTGGTCAGCGT